GAAAAATTTATGAAACTTATGAATTTTTTGAAAATTAAAGTTTTTAAGGAACATGAGACCTTCATTCAATCTCTTAACCGTCGTTCACACTATCCAACAATGAAATTCAATCAAAAACGATGGAGCCATTTTTATTTTGAATGTGTTTCAGGGCTTCCTGAAACGTACCCCAATAAAATTAAAATATCGATTTTAAATTCATGTAACCGTGACATCAGCGAGTTTGATTGAGGGATCTACTTTGGAGAAAATCGGCTGAACGGTTTAGACCTTAGCGTTGTTTACAGACGCACAGACAGACGTTCGATTTTTCGGTATGAAGAAACGACGTAATATGGATTCTGGCTACACATTAGAATATTATTTTCTAAATGTAGCAACTTGATTTATCCACTTTTTTGTTATCAGGGCCCTGTAATGAGAGGGTTTTTTGCCAAAATTTCAGTTTTTTGCGCAGCATTACATAACTTTCTCTACACCGTAGCGAGAAATTAAAAATGACGAGTGTTTCATTTTTTGGTACAAGTTCCATCCAGTTTGACTACCACGCTACTAGCGTCACTTTCGGAAACTTTTTCTCGTTTACTAAGCATGTGGTGCGATTTATTCATTTTGTGGAGGTTTGAGAGCGTTCTGCGTGTTGAATTGTACTGTGAAGTGATTAGTGTGGTACGGAAGAAAACATGTACTGCGTTCTAATGTTGCCTCGCTCTGGGCTCAGCCTAAAAATAATCTTTCTTAATTTGTCCCTGCGGATGCGTTGTTCAGCTGTTTGCTCTTCAGCTCTTTTTGCGGCGTCCGTAGGAAACAAATGCTTCGTGATTAAGTGCGGAAAACGAAATCACGTAGTGAATCACTAGATCTCGTTCACACATTTTCGGTACCGAAACAAAACCGTGAGCAACGGAACAACCGTTTTCTATCAATCTTACGTACAGAAAAAGGATGAAAAAAGTCCCGTGTGAGACGGGCTTAGAGTGGAAACATGGGGGCGGGGCGGCGCGGCAGATTAAATAGCGAATGCAGGACGCGAAGCCAACTGTTGAAGAATGGTGCTGTCAAAAGCACGAGAGTTACGTTTGTATTAAAATATGTTTGGAAGTTTTTAAGTCGTAAGCGAAGAGACTGGATGAATGTAGTGTGTTGCAGCAGCTTGGGGAATATCTCAATATATTTCCCATACTTTACGATAATGAAAAAGGTTTCTATGAAAAGAATTGGGTTAGAAAATGTGCGAGTTCTGACTGTATAAAAATGTCTAATACTTTACTCAATTGCCTTGGCAATTTTTCCCATTTTTTTTTTCGTAATAACACCTCAGTTCGGATTATATGTATGCATCATGCCGTATTGGCGGTCTCGAAAACCTTCGTTAATTAATAATTCCTCACCCGTGATCACACGCTGGCAGGTTCAGATCGCGGGCAATTCACGCGACAAAAAACAACAAAACTAAACTGTTCCGAATCGCACCCCATCGCTTGTTCTAGTGCCAATGGCCATACATAAATTTCTTCTTGTCGCATTGGGTGTGAGTAATCGTACGTTAATTTTTTCTTTGGAGTAATCACCCGTACTTTGTTAGCCGTTCAATAAAATTAAATTATAATTTATGTATGAATGCAAATAAATGTTCTATAACTTGTGAGGGGAAATGTTTATTTTTTAAACTTTTTAACCTCATTTTGTTGGTACTTTTTTATCGTTAAAATATTTATATGTTAAAATATTTAAAGTGTGAGGAAGAGAATCTAGAACTCAAGAAACCATGCGCATATTGTACTTTCCCCCATACGTCACATAGCTTTGTTTAATGCTGCCTCGGAGTTCGATGAAAACGGATCAGCAAAAAATGGCTGTTCTGAAACTATACCCGACACTGAAGGTTATTTTTTCGTCATCTAGTTATGTCATCTGGGACGCAAACAGTGACGCTCTGAATATGAGATTACAGTCATAACATTTGGCACGAGGTTGTGCTTAATACTCAATCATATATTTGCAGTTGCAATATTTTTTCAGCCATAATCTGAAGTTTCTTTGTTTCTGTATTTTTCCATTCTTCTTGTTCCCAATGAAACCATAGACAACAAATATATGTCTGCTTTGTTGTCCATCAATTTATGTATAAATTCGAAATCAGTATTTCAGGTATATCATCCAAGTTGATGATTATTTGCCTGCTATTGTTTCGCCTATTGCGGAAAAACCTGTCTGTGTATCACCATGTTTACACCGTGCCAGTGGCTGCAACCCGTGCGACCGTTCCCTCTTTCCGCTTGAGTGCTGGGTGCGCTCTAGTGCCACCTTGTCAGGACGAAAGTCAGGCTCAGGGACGCGACCTGCCAGAGGCCAGCGACAACACACCCGCCCATCCCTCGC